CCTGTCAACCCGGCGGCCAGGTCAACCCGGCGGCCCTGGGCGGGGAACGGAGGGGTCCGTGCCCATGGGTGCGGGGCGGTCTGGTAATGATGCCTTAAGGGTTAAAAGACCCCCAGATGTAAGCGGCTTGTATGCGTAAGACTTAGGCCTTATTGTCTAGTTTGCTAATGCTTTGCTAAAGTCGGTAGTTAGTAAATTTAGAACTTTGTTCAAGGATGGGAAGAATCGGGAGGGGATGAAGCAAAAAGATAATAACGGTTTGTCAAGGTTGCTTGACTAGAAGGAATGAGAACTAACTGACGCAGGAAGATTTGTGGCTCCTTACGAAGGACAGTTTTTGATAAGAACCAGGAGTTTACCTTACGAACTGGTTTACACCGACCCTGCAGTTTGGGCAAGAGCCAAGGAGCAACTGAGTCTGCGCAAGAACAAGGGGTTCCTGGCGGTGACGAAGAGGAGCCATCAGCCTTCATCCCCACGACGACCACCACAAGGAGGCACTGAGCAAGCGCAGTGGGGAGGGGCTCATGGAAATGACCTCCTGAAGCTAATTTTAATACAAAGTGGGGACAGGTTATGCGTATGCGTAGACATATTGGGAAACTTCATGCATGTAACACTTTGCTGCATGTAAACGGGACAAGCTGCCGCTTGAAGGTATGCACGTTAGGTGGAGCGATCCCCCGTGCATCCGGCGCCGTGAATAAAGAATGCCTGCCTTCTAACACTACATTGGTGTTACGAGGTTCGATCCTCCCGATTTCGGTGACAGTGTGAGCGGCTCCCTGAGCTAAGGCGGGGGTCCGGGCAGGGGGAGAGGCGGGAAAGCCCGCGCCAGAGCCCTCCGCCATGAGGTGAGGCGGGCCCACGAAGCGAGCGGGGTGAGTCCTGGCTGACACCGAGATGGGCCGCTCGTCCCGACAGAGGGGTGCACGATATTGCTCACCGCGGCGACTGAGAATATCACAAAGAATCGGGCAATTGCATCTTTAGAAAGAGTTTCGTTTACAGCCTGTGTGCTGATGGGAGCACCCTGGGTGTTGCTGGCACATCTTGCAGCTTGCAGCATCAACCCGGTTAACGTGGGCTCAGGAAGAATTGTATTAAATCGGTGAAATTTGACAGCGATGTCAGGTTAAAAATAGTTCTTTGGAAGTGTTGGACCCCTTTGAAGAGAAACATTTTAAAGTCATAACCAATATTCCATGATAGGATTTTTCTAAATAAAAGCTAAGGCTTTGAACCATTAAACCGTCTATTTGAGAAAAAAAGATTGGACAGAAGCGTAAACTGAGAAATGGGAACAGATTTTTCTTTTTAAAAATTGCAAGCAATACCTCAAACTCGGCAATCTTAAACCACTGGGCTATGTAGTATGAATGTGCTAATTAATCAATTACTACCCAACGATGTACCCTGTTTATTTACTGTAATGTACTACATGTGTGTAGAACCAGTAATTATTAATCATAGTAACAAATTTGACTCAAGTTCACCTTCCTATAATTAATAGAGCATATAGTTAGCTTTAATATATTTCTTTATTAGCGGCAACAATGACTGAGGATAGAAAAGAAGTTGGAATATGATACTGTGGCCTACTGTGGTGAAGGGCTGAACTGATGTGTTACGCCTTAACAGTGATATTCTGCTCCTGTGTTTCATGGTCAGAAGTAAGTTTATATTGCCTGTAAAATGAACACACCACAGTTACTTTGATTTATAAAAGTATTTCAAGATATTTTGCTGTTAACTTTGGGTTGCTCTTCTTGTTAAAAGCGCAAGAAGGAGGGAAAAGCCCTTCAGCCTCTAGCAGCATAACCTCACAGTGGCTAAGAGAACGTAGATGCACCTCTACTCACACAACGTGCTACAAATGGACTGAGGCAGCACCTGCATTTACAAACGCATAGCAAAGCATCACATACTTCAAAAGCGTGCAAGAATGGTGGCCAAACATCCTAAAGACAAGGCTGGAAGCATTCTTCCAAGTGTCTTCAGTTGTTAGTATTTGGTTGCGCTCTTCAGGTCTCATTGGCTTCTGGTATAGTCTGATCATTTTGACATCAAAACAGTCTCCTGAAACGCACGCACACGTCTGTGATGAAGCTAACAACCAGTCTAACCATTCTTCAGTCGAGATGGTATATTAAATTACATTCATGAGCATTGTCAACGATTGTAGTACCTCATCTTTAGTGCCCGATTGCTGTAACAAAATCTGTAGTCTGAAATGAAATGCAGAGGATCCATATACCATACGAGGGAGTACCTCAGGTCTGTGATAGGTGACTTGTTAAATGGGAAGTGATGGTAGATAATCGCTGTGAAAGGTTGAGGACTGGATTAGTTTTAAAATTCCAGGGATTCGTTACCTTACCCTAGATGGAAGCTGGTAAATTCTCCTGAACTATCCGTTTGAGTGAGGTATCGGAAATATTTCAGGAAATGGGTCAGGCGAATGCTTTATTTCAGAAGACATCTGGAAGTGGTTGTGCTGATGAACCGCTTTTTTTCCTCTCTGCTCAGGGTTGTCACTCTAAATGTGGAAATTTGGGCTGAATGCCCTTTTTCTGCAGGGCTTTAAACCCAACTATTTAAAGAGGGAGACCCAGTTTCCAGTATGAGCTCCAGATAATGTTCTCTCTGGAGAATGACCTGAAATGGGTAGCACATGTGCTACAGACAGTATGTCAGCTCCTGCAAAAACAAGATACATGAAGTGCTGTCAGCTGAACGCACATCTTCATTTGTGGCTCTAGCCCATCAGGAGCAGGAAACCTTTATTTTAATTGTCTGCATCTTCTGCAGTTGATGCCAAACCTCACTGCCCCTCATCTCCTTCCACAAGCATTCCGCCAGACCTTGCAGCTGGGGAACCAGCTTGGGCTTTTGCTGTCGTTAGCTGCAGACTTCTTTGGCAATTTCTGATGAGCAGCCACACCTGGGCCACCTTTTATCTTTTGATTCCCACTTGTTCTGTTTTCTTCCCAGTCTAGATCATGTTCTGAATAGTGCTAAAATTCAAGCTACAGTTCGAGGACTCCATTATGACTTTATTTCTGACTTTTTTTTTTTTTAAGATTATAATTTCATTTTATATCTGCCGCATTACTAAAAAAATACATTTTTGGCACCAGCAGCATGGGAGTTGAATGTGAGAGACTGTAAAGAGGTTTCAATCCTTCCATCAGCTCAACGCTCAGAAGTGTTAATAGTAATTAAAAACTTTTTTCCCCTCAAAATACATTTCACACTTTGCACATGCTGAGAAATCTCTCTCACCATGGGAACTTTCACATCGCTCGTTCCCTGCAAAAACAGGTACAGTTTTCTTTTGTCAGAATAGAACAAAGACATGAGGAAGTGCAGGTTTCATTTACTCCTAGGACACTGCAGTCTATTAAGTGCCAGTGAACTAATGAGCCTCTCAGACCTTATGTTGTTCTGGCTTGGATCAAGGCTTAATTTCCCTTAACCCTTAAGAAACTAGCTGCCTCCTGGGTTGATACCACCATGCTCACCTATGCCTCCTTTTCCCCCAGGATATTGCTTCTGCTGGCCAACCCAGGACATTATATAGTTTATTGGTATTGTTTTATAGATGTTTTATATCATTTTGGTATGAAGTTAGGTGAGAAGTCTACAAAGAGCTTCCTAGCAGTGAAACAGGAGAGAGCGCATTATAGATGCTGTGAGGAGAAAGTCAGAACAGCATCCTGTTCTGCAGCCCCTCAGGTAGAACAGAGGACAAATAGATCTCATCTTGTTGGAAGAACTATAAACAATTATACTGTGCTTTTTGGAATATTATTTCTTGGCAAGCGAGAGATCATTGTGGTACCTACCACAGCCAAAAATACCTCTGTTACTTTCATTTCTAACCATAAAGACTTTCAGAAAGTTCATTCACTGGCTAAATTTCATGTTAGAAAAACCTCTGGTATATCCAAAACCAAGACCGTATTGAGATTACGTGTAAGAAAGGAACAAAACCAACCAAACAAGAATTAACCAAAAATATTCTTTTAGACCTTTATTTGAAACAGTGATCAGCGTTTATGCAAACATCCTCATCTGCAGTGAATTACTTCTGCGACCAAAATAGAAGAGAAAAAGGCTAACGCAAAGATAATGTATAGAAGCTCATGGATCAAAGACTCTGGCATCAGAAAAAACACTGATCTGCTGCGACTGCTTGGTCACGTTCATTATTCATCTTAAAAACTGGTTTTTGCCTGAGCTTTTTGGGAAGTAATCTCGAAGATACTTGCCACGCTTGGGACAACAGTATCTGTGCAATGGAGAAGATGCACGCTTCTGTAGTAAAATTTAGAATGTGTCGTCTGTTGGGATGTTAGAGATTTGATGGATAAAGAGAATTTTACAAATGTAACTGTTGGCCTTTAACATAACAGCGCCCAGCAATTGTGACAAAAAAAGTCAGCAATATCTGAAGTACAGAATCTATCTGATGGCCGGATAGATCCGCAAAAGTCACAGCGTGCTGGGAATCAGAGTACAATTCTAACGGTCCTCTTAGAATCTATTGTTGAACTAGTGCTCTTACTATTATTTGTGATAATTTGAAAGTGAACGTAAAACAACTGCTGCAAAAATCCATAGATAACAAAAGAGCAGAATGATAACAATATGGACAGTCAGTTCTGAAGAGGAATCTGGGTTGCTGGGCTTATTGATGAGGTGGCATTTAAGTGTATTTATAGGCAGCGCACTGGACCTGCTTTCCTGTTGGAAGCCTGTGTTTTAGAGGACAACAGGTTTGAAAGGGAATTTAGGGTCCCAGGACTCTCTTCAACAGAGTATGATCTAGTGACAAAGACAGCGCGATCCCTCTGCACATACCCAGGGGCACAGACCACGGAAGAAAGTGGCATTTTCATTGCATAGCGTCACAAGGAGGATTCACTGGAACGCCTTAAGAGGTTTGGGTACGCCACTTCTGCAGGGATGTCAGCAAACTGAGTCTGACTTGGGAGTTTTGACTTAAGGACCAGAAGGGTTCATCCCACAGAGAGGGGCCCTTTTAGGGTAAACAGTTCTTTGGTTTCTGAGGCAAAGACCTAACGAGATCCAATCCCTGGAAGTTGAAGGCAAACGAATGCAGACTGTGCTTAAGGCACTGGCTTTAACAGTAAGGATAATTAGCCCGTGGGAGAATTTGCTAGGGATGCAGTGGATTGTTTATGGTTATGAACCTCTCTTTATGACGATGTCGTAGGGACAGCTCTAAGTTGTAGGCTTGACGGAGGAATCACTTGGTAAAAGTCTAAGCTCTGTGCTCCGCAGGTCGCAGTAGATTCTGCTGCCTTAGAGGCAACGGTTCTATGAATAAGATTCTAAAAACAGTGTACTTCAGGAACGACAATGTGAACATCAGGGGCATTTGTTACCATCCTCCGCTTTTCAACAGTTTACTTTTGTGAAAAAAGGGGTAATTCTAAACACCGCACTCAGGAATCGTGGAAATGTACTGTCTCAGTTAATAGTACTTCACATGCCGATGCAGAAGGAAAACCAAACCTGTTCTTACAGATGAGAAAGCGTTTCCAGAAGCATAAAGAATAAGGCACTTAAACATTTTCCGTTAACTATTCTTTCAGAGCATCTGCTTTCGAAGGTTGCTCTCCTTCCAATTCCAGTTTGTTTTCTGCTGTAATTCCTAGAATTGCTTCAATATCTTGAATTGCCATCTGTAACAGATTCAAGGAATACAAGTTATTTAATGGGCATTATAATGAAATCTAGCAGCCAAAACGCACAGCTGGTAGTACTTGCCTTGAAAAGGTAACCAGTGTTACACAGGATATGACGCACCAATTAAATTGATTACTTTGGGGACAGTTGGGGGAATTATTAGTAAATATGTACAAATCTCGGGTAAATAAAACACACAATTCATTGCAATTTGTACTTCTAATTAACTAACAGGTGTTCTATTTCACATGTGTAAATCATTGTTAACTCACTATGAAGGAGAGTTCCCTTTTATACTTTTCTTCAGTGGTTGCTTTTCACCCCCTCATATTGAAAAAAGGGGGTTTCTTTGTTTTGTTTATTCTGTAACATGTTGAAATTTAATTATATCTTCTCTAAAACTGTCATTTCACACTCTGCTTGTCAGAGGAAAATATTGTCGGAGTTAACGCTGGAAGGAATCTGACATAAATTACGTTATGTGATTTAAGATACAAATTGTAACACAGTGCTCCCCTTCGCCTTTCTACAGAAAGGATCTCAGAAACTTTATAAAAAGTTAAAGGTGATACAGTTTAGCAAATGAACTCCCTCCGGAAATTCCGCTATTCTCCGGAATCAAAAAGCGCCATTGTCATGAGTGTTCGTTTCGGGGCACGGGGCAGGATTCATTATTGCTTTCCTGTCTCCTTTTGCCAGCAAGGTCGTTGCAAAAGAGCTTCCGCGTAAAGGTGGGCGCTCCTGGGGGAACATTCCCGGTGTAACGAGCCCCCGCGCTTTGTCCTGCCTCCCCCCGCACCACCCCTGAGCATCCTCTGGCACCCAGGGATGGGCGCTGCGGGCAGATTCAAAGAGCAGAGAAAATTGGGAACAAAATTGACTGGTGACATTGATGGTGGGGTGAAAGAGGTGAACTAATGGATTAAGTACTCGGTGGCTGCCTGCTTAAAAGAAATCAGTGTTAATAATCTAAGGAGCTATTATAAACTGAGAAGTTTGTTTCTCATTTAAGATTCCTACCTTGATGGTGTCCCTTTCAAACAAAAAGGACAATTGTGGCAGAATTGTCTGAGGCAGTGCCAATAGCTCCTTCGCTTCTTAGAACAGACAACCAGAAGCCTTACATTACAAATAATTTCACGCTAAAGTATGTCTCTCTTCAAAGAAAAAGTTTCAAACTTAAATTTAACTAACAGGTTCATTGGGAGACTTACTATATTGACCTAGACACTGTAAAATACATACCGCTAACAATAAAAAAGGAATGGTTTAGCACTTGTTTATGATACAGCATGAGGTATTTTCAGCCCTTGTACAGAAATTAACCAGGATCGTTAGTTAATTAACACCTCACCTTAAAATTGGTCTCGCCTTGCATATTAGGTGCTGATATTTCTTGATGGATGATGAAGAGATTGCGAGCAAAGGTCATGAGGACCCCCTGGAGATCCTCTCCGATTGTTCTGTTAATGATATCCAAACAAATGAGTTTACCAATGATTCCCTTCACATGCTTAAAAACAATCGCCCTCTCATTTGTGCCTGTCTGGTGATGGAATTTAATGAGTATTTTCAATCTCACAAGGTGGCAATCTTCAGGGAGATATGAAAGATGAGGCTCCATTTTAACTTGTCAACAGAAAGGATTTGTGCAATAAATAATTTTTATTAATCAACTTAGCAGAAGTAAGCGGTAAGGTTTCGGCTACTCCAAGTAAAAGGCTACCGTGGAGTTAGGACTGAGACAGCAGAACGCTTTAAACACCGAGGTTAGTTCGGGAGAGCTGTTGCTCCTGCCTGCAATTTGTGCAAGACATCTGAAGGAAAAATTTCAGCAGTATCAGCATTTCTGAGACTCCTGTAGCTTTTGAGGCTTTGGTTCCTCAGTGGTACATACGGACTCCTCTCAATACATGCGATCCTATGGAACAGGATATTGTGCCGAGGAAGCATGTACCTCGTTTACTGACTGGAACTGCCGACAGAGCTGCAGTGTAGTGAAATGGGTGATAATTCACATAGACATTTCAGGTATTTCAGTGATTTTATAAGCTCAAACTGTTATATTCTTGCAAATATTTCCAAATTAAGATAATGAAACTGCATTGAAAATCTGATGGAAGAAAAATCTGGGATCAGACTGTATGGCGAATGTATTTGAGAGTATTCTGGTAATATATTAATACCTGCCAATTCAAGCTGATGGTGCAAGAGCTGCTGTTATGTTTCTTACCAGGGGAGCAACTGCTGATGTGTTGTTCCAAACGAGTAAGCAAGAACGTAGGCAGGATGCAGCACCTCTAACCTAAGGACTCCATTTTCCAAGGTACGTGGCTACCAAAGCGAGGGACAAGCCAATCCGGCAGTTCCCTGACTCTGAGAAGGACAGGTCCTTCTCCCCTCTTCAGTTCTCCCCATCCATCTCCCACAACTCTCCCGCTCACTATATACCCCTCTATGCGCTGATTCGATCTTAGCCTCACGGAAAACCAATCCAATAAAAAAAAAGCTTTCTGCTGAGTTATTGAGCTGAATCAGCTCCTGGGGAGGTGAAAAAGTACCAGAGACCATGCAAAAGGAGGGTGAGGAGGGAGGAGGACGCCACAGCTGGGGTCAGGGAGGGAAAGACCTCACCTTTCCGCACCGGTGGGCTGCTAGGAGAATTTAGTGGCTTATGGAACACTCTCAGATGCCTAAGTCACTTTTTAAATGGCTCCTGTAGATACCGTGCAAGTTCTCGTTTAGGGATTTTCTTTCAAATTTACCTTACAGCTCAGTCACGGAAGCTGCCTACGTTGTGGCTGGAGGTGACTCCAGCATCCTATAGGAATATCTAAGCTTTAAACGAATCTGACTCGCTGGTATACTACCAACAGCCGCATCCACAAGGAGCTCGGTACAGGCTGGAAGAATCACAGCCCTAGAAACAATCTTTAGGATTCGTTTAGCCCATTCCCTGCACTAGGGCAGGATCAATGCTACTTGCATCATCCTGGCAGAGGTTTGTCTATCTGTTACTAAACACTGTCAACGACAACCGCACCGAACAATCTAATTAGTTCTTCCCTTACTATCAGAAATTTTTCTTACGCTCAACATGAATCTTCCTTGCTGCAAGTTAAGTTCATTTCTTCTTGTCCTACTACCAAAGACGGGGAAATCAGGTTTTTCCTTCCCGCAGAGACTTTTTATGTGCTTGAAGACTGTTAGCAGATGTCAGTTCTGCCTCCTCCCCCCACCCCCTTTAGTCTTGCCTTGTACCCTATGCTTTCTCACACTCTAAATGTTTTCATTGCCTCCTCCTGAGTAGAACAGAAGGATTACTTCCAATGTCTCCCCGGTTATATTGTTCACCTTTTTCCGTAAGAGCATGGCATCGTGACTTGCAGGCAGTTTGTAAGCCACTAACTCACGGATCCTTTCTGCAAAGCTAGTTCCTCCTACTCCTTACTGCTATCTAAGCGTAATTTCTTGCACCTGGTTCCAACTGAATGTAATTCTATTTTTCATATTCTTTCTTCAATTTGTAGAGATCATTTTGAATTCTGTTCCTGCCCTCCAAAATGCTTGCAGTCATATCCAGCACTTGAGGAAGCTGTTTTCTTATCCAGGTCATTAATGAAATAGCTCCAGCATCAAAGGAATACGGAACAGACTGAGAACACACCATTTCAGCCCCTCGCTCGTTATTTCCTATTTCGGCAGTAAACTTCACGTAAATTCTCTCCGAGGAGAGGTTTTCAATCAGTGTACAGTAGATTTGTGCAGATTATGCTTTCTTAGACCGCTTAGGAGAGAGGTTCATATGCCTAAAGAATTACTAAACTCTCAGATGTGCTGCTGCCTGACTGCCATCGATCACTTTGTGAAGAACAATATAAAAAGGCATTAAACTTCAGCCTTCTTTGCATCCTGTATGGTTAGCTTTTTAATAACGCCGCCTGTAAAAGTAAGCCTGCGCTAATCCGTGGGCTCTCACAGCCAGATTGCTATTGACAGCGAATCCAGCTCTCGCAAAGCTAATTGCAGTAGGTCTTTAGTCTGCAATGCAGTCAGGCTTTGATCTAAGCAGGTTCCTGTACTTTTCTTTTTTTATTACCAAATGCTTTTATTACCAAAAGCTTCCCTAAAACTTTCCAAAAAGCCACTCTTGCTTTTTTTGAACAGTAGAGCGAACTGGAGCGCATGGTGTTCAGGCTGTCGTTGCCTGCGTGCCCTCTGTTGGGGCCCAAGCCAGCACACGCGGTGGTGTCGCACTCGTCAGACCAAGTGTTCCTGACTTTATCAGACTGTGGAACCGGCGGCATATACTTACATCATTCCCAATCTGTGTCGCTTCTGATCGTCATACAAGATAAAAATTGTTCCTTGTTTTTCCTGTTAAATAAAAAGACAAAGTTGCTTTAATTATTCCTAAAATAGCAATAATTATAATAAATGCATTAAACACGGGGAGTAAGTACATAACCATAAGTAAGGAAGGCCAGTTTTGGATTGTGTGTAATGGATTATTGCTCGGTGTAAATAGATTATTGCTCTAATTTATTGTAGAGAATACAATACACTGACTTCATAATAAATAGAGTAAATATGACAGAGTTTATTCAATAGCGATATTTTTGTTCCAAAGTAGGAAGGGATGGCCATAAGTATCAAAAATTACCTCCTTACCCAGTTGTTTTTATCAAGAGACAGGTTAACCCCTAAAAAGCCTTACACACACTTGAAAGGCACTGAAAATATGTTTAGGTTTTCTTGTTCTCAAAGTTTATACTTCACCTTAGACACACACAGGACGTGAACTTCATTAACCTTCCCCTCTTGGTCATCACGGCCTGACACTGGTGACAGTTTGGTCGGGAGCGAACTCACGGTTTGATTTTTAGGTGTGCTGAGCACCCGTTACTGCCTGCCGCTGGGAGAGGTCTCAGAATGGGTGCTGTCCCCAGGGTGGGGCTATACTGAGAAAACAGGTAAACCGCTGCATTTCCCAGGGAAGCCCTGTGCCCTAGGATCAGAAATCTCTGCTGTTCTGTCTTGTGTAACATCTTCTGAAGTCTTTTACATTTCATTCTTTCACAGTTTTGTTCACGAGCCTTCAGCGCTTCCTCTCCTAGCAAAGACTGCATTGTCATTTCTTCAATCCTCTTTCTGTTCCCCATCTCACCCGGCCTCTCGGCCTCTGAAGGTGAATCTTCTTGTGCAGGTACAGAGGTGTGCGAAAAGGCCCAGTGCTCTCTCACGCAAACACCGAGCTAGCACCGTCCTGAACCCAAGCACAGCTCCTGGCTGACGGCCGTAATCCCTTTTGCCCGCAGAGCCGTGCGAAGAAACCCGCCGGGACTGCGTTCTCCCCGCAGTCTCCGAGAGACCCCGCCTGACTCCCCACTGTGTAACACCAACGCTGTAGTGCTCTTCATCCTGCCCTGCTTCCGATCTCAAGCCAAATCAGGTAAGATATCTCCGTACTGCAGTTCTTCAAGACTTACACCCCAGCTACAGGTAAGTGTTACAATATCAGGCTAATTTTTACAGGAACTACTGATGACCTTTATGCAATTCAGAGTTCATTAATTAGCATCATGAAAACAATTTAAAATAAAATCAATTCTGATGTATACCAGCTCCTCTTCAGCAAAGCTACAGAGCAGCACCTTGCTGTGTTTTCAACAGAACCCCTAAACGTTATATTATGCTGAAGAGAATGCTTAAACTTTACATTGCGCTAAGTGGTTTCACCAGATTAGGAATTACGCACAAAAATTATGCAGAGTGACTAGCATGCTTTCTAATCTTTCCCGTTCATACCTGGAGGTCAAATCCAACACCACGAGCCTTACACGTCTGGAGGAGAACGTTATAGTAGATTACTGAAAGGCTGGAGTGCCTCAGCTGACTGCTTGCTACTGCGCACCGGTTGCTTATTGGAGGCAGCTAGAGAAAACAACACCGGATTCTTTATTTTCATACCAGTTTATATCAGAAACCAAAAATTTACTGTTTAAACAGCTTTTTCCTCAGTAAACCCATCCAAGCGTGCAGTAGGACTCCACTTGGAGGAATTCCTGTTCATCAGCGCGTCTGTCGCACGTAGGCATTTCCATGCAGCAAAACTAGATCCTCGCCTCACGCTGCATGTAAAACCTTACATTATAGGCCGGGTCTATGGAATCACTCTTTACGAACCACATTTTGATTTTTTTCACACTTCGCTGGTAACTGAGCCCTGTGAAATCATTCTGAGTGGATCCTCCGAATCTGTCCTGCCCTGTGGTAACATACGTCATTCCAGGAGTCAGCTCTTCTCGATAGCAGAAATTCCAGAGCGGATAATCAATAGGTTTTGAAATCAGGTTTCTCCAAGACTGAGCATTCCGCTACAGCATTGGTGTGCATAATTTCTCCAGCAAGTCTTTGAGGAGGCGGCCCAGTGAGGCCAAGGAGCCATACAGCTGATACCAGTGGAGTTCATACTACAAATTAAAACCAGTACTGCATTTGAGTTTAAACTCTTCCCAATGCTTAGGACAAAAGAACAGAGATGTTGCATTGAGTAGAACGGAATAGAGACGTTCTCATAAACCAAGGCTTTCCTGTGACGTTGCGTTTAGTACCGGACTGTTCGTTCAGAGTGGGGATACTGCACGTTGAAGCATGTAATTCACAGTATTTTTTTCTAAAATGATATTTGTTTTGACATTGACTCATTTAAGTTGACATAGTTGAAATCCTTATATAATACATCTCTGCCTGAAAATTAATCATGTTTATAATATTCTGAGAATTAATAACACCCATTGCTCAAGTCATTAACTTAAAAAAGGAGCTTCCAAAATCTGTTCTCTGCAGTAGGGGACCACAAATAAATGAATGCTTGATAAAATAATCCAAGTAGCAGTTTAACAAGCGTAAACTTGAATGTGGCTGCAATAACACAGAACTATTGTTTAAGGGTTGGCATCAGGTTGATGAGGTGCTTATTTCAGCTACAAAGCATGCATACACATGCATAATGAACTGCAGCATGAATTATTAATGTGTTGCTTATTTAGCCTCATCTGTCTAGAAGATAATGTATCCTAACTATAATGAGTGATTGGTTTTGTACATAATTACAGTAGCAGCAGTATCTAGGAAATTTGTTCTTTCAAAGAAGGATTTCTAAAAATAAAATCATCACACAAACTCGGTTGCTGCTCCGTTTTATCAAAATCAAACCTACCAGGATGGAGAATATATAATAAATTAAAAGGGACAGAATCATTATTAACATCATAATTTTACACAAAGTGTTTTACTTAATCATTCATTACAGATCATGGGCTGTAAAAGCATTTGTCTCTTGGTTTCTTTTTCTAAAGTTATTTTTCTGAGAGAGTGCATTTTCGTAGTTAACTCTTAAGGAGATAAAACCCTCAGAAATACAGGAAAAAAAGAAAAATAAAGGATTATAGTGACGATTTATGTTAATCCTGACAGAATTTTAATTAAAAAAAAAAAAGTTGCTACTTGATTACTCTTCATTTCTAAAACTTGTTCTACTGGGACTAATCATATCTAATTCACTTCTCTCCAACTAAAAGTGGTTGCTTGACAAGAACAATAGATCAAGAGCTCATTAACCTATAAATTATAGCTCCGTGACGATTTTGGAATGGTGCTACATTCCTCCTCTATGTATCAAAAAAAAGGGAGTTGTGAATCTTCTGTCAAAACGTGTAAAACGGCTTCTGGTTTGTACCTGCATGTGTATATAGAGGTGTACTTACGCATACGCTTCTTATGCGCTGGCTTTTCTAAAGGCCTTCCTTCCCCTTTTTAGAGAGACAGTCTCAAGGTTCAGAGCCGTACTAAATCCTGCACCAAGACTGATCTAATTTAACAAACCAGCGTAATAAGGCACGTAACCACGCCTCTGTGGCAGTGTAAGGATTCCCAAGCAATACGCAAATACCGTCTTATTTAAAACCACGTCCCCGGGAGGCACTGTTACGGACACAACCCTGAGAGTTTTCAGAGAGATTAAAGGTGAGATCCAGAAGAAGCAAGTGCTGCAGCCTTCCTCATCTCGGCACCTAAACCCGCAGCCCCGAGCCCCTCGGCCGCGTGTGAGCCCAGCAGACGGGAATCCGCAGCGCGTGATCCCGAGCGTGGCTGGATTTGACCTGGCCGTAGGGAACGGAACAGTTCGAGTGGGGAGTCTTCAGGGCTCAGCTGTCTTTGTTGCAAACGGGTGCTTCTCCCCCTTGGGCTTTGTAACTCTGGTCCAGAGAGAGCAGAAGCAGGAGGGAGAACAACGGCACCTTCCTGCTTAGGGAACTCACCTCAGTTAGGGGGCCATGAGGTTTTCTTCCCGTTCAAATGTCTGTGTCCTGAATTAATATTGAATATTTAATGCTGACTATTTAGTACCAAACAGTTAGATGGATGCAGAACTGAAGGAAGCTTCTGAGAACCAACATTTGGGTTTAACTCAAGGGCAAGCTGGGAGGGATTTATGTGTGCAGATCCTTTTGCAGATGTAGCCCTGGCTGCTTTACCCTCAGTTTTGTGCATGAAAGCCCAAAGCTGGGGTAGAACATCAGCACTCTAACTTCTGATCCAAATGAAGGCTCAGATTTCTGCCTGACTGCTTCTGAGTTACTCCTATAGTCAGGGCAGTGCTTTCGCCTCCTTCCCTTTTCTTGCAACATATAAATGACCGCATTTTTTTACACCTTGAAAACTACCTGAAATATTTTGAAATTAGTTGCTACCAGAAATCAATATTGCTGAGTACAAAGGGTGAATAATCAGGTACCCATAAACATCCAGAACCTCTCCTTTAATTCCTAACGTGATGGTATCCCCTCTACTTCATCAACCTTGTAAAATCTAGAAGTAGCAGTTTAAAATCTGAAAGGAGCAGATTCAGCTCCTCCAGAACAGTGCTCTAGGACAGACTTTTCAGTAGTTTACAATAATAATTTTCTTTATAAACAAATCACTGCTTACAGTTTTGGGCTCCTCGTGCTGAATACGTTGGCTTTTCATTTTGTTTGAACCAAGAGATACTTCAAAGCAGCTGGAGCGGCAATCCAGATTTCCATCTGTCACATACACCATGAGCTGAGTCAAGGCCAGCTGGTCACTATAGCAAAGGTCAAGGTCTGTTGCCCACACCTAAAACACAAACAGGTGCATTAAAATTAAAAAAAAAAAAGAACAAGAAGGGTGAAACTCAGCAATGGCGTGCAGGAACATCTATGCCTTTATTTTCACGCACGTTGGCACACGTGCTTACGGTTTCCTTGGGCTGCTGCATCGTTGGCAGCGATAAACGACTTCCAAATGGGAACAATCAGAATTCTTGCGTAACTTCAGGAGTAACTTTTCACAGAAACCCGAAAGGCTAAGGGCAAAGAGGTGACCTGTACTACCAAGATTTTAGCAACAACAGGAAAAAAGTAGATAGATGAGCTCAACAGCTGTAAAGCCTGTATCACATTAAATAGGTAATTACCCAAATACTAAATATCACATCTGGATTTTTCAGCTGAAGAGTAATTAAGGTCAAATAAAGCCAACCTTGAGTTACAAATAGGTATTCTGAGATAGAAAAAGGGAAGTTCCAGAAGTTAAACTGAGTAAAAGGAGTAGGGAGGTGTGGAATCCATGCATAAGAACACGTATCGGTCATCGCAGGGGTTGAGCAAAGCCTATCCCCACTGCAATACCCGGCCTCATCGAACAGCGGATACTTTGGCACATGGAAAACCATGTGACCTGTGGGATGGTTCTGCTCACGCTGCTGGTCTGTGCTGCTCATTCAGATTTATACTCACATAACTACACGAGAAATCAGCCCGCAAGGTTGTAGGGCTGCCAGCAGAACGTGTCCTGCAGGCAGGCGAAGGGAAGCCCACCCCACCCACATGCAAGACACGCTCGCAGGCAACGGCGAAAACCTCGCATAAACCTCAAGAAGATCTCAAAGCACTGAAGCACATACAAGTCTGACAGGATTTGTGAGGCCAGCCCATGCCCATTGCTTCTGCAAGTCTCCTCCGCCCCCAATAACCCAAGTGTGGTTTTACCCGTGAGATTTTCCCATTTAAAAAATGCTTGTGCCTGCTACGCCAATGAGAAATGTTAACACACGCAAATATCTGCCCTACAGTGGACCCCTTTAAAACAAATCTAGCAGTGAATGACTTGAATAAGCCTTTGAATGGTAAATGGCATCATTATAAGGATATTAAGAGGTCAGGCAGTCAAGGCCTCTTGGTAAACTGGAGTTAATTTCTGAATCATATGCACATAGTAATGCCCTTTTTATAATGGCGAATAAATCACATCAGTAACAGTTGTTAATATCTAACTGCCAAGTATCTGTTGCTGTATTAAATATCCTATTTGTCAACTTAAATATTTCCTGCTGCATGGTATAAAATGCAAATCGGATGCTAATGCCTGGCTTTACTTAGTAATAGGGGAATATTCCCCAATTATAATGCTTAATTTTCTTCAATAATTTATTCTTTATCATTACTTCTGCAAGACAGGAAGGAACTTTCATATCGATTTATACTTTTCCAGTACGCGCTAACCTTTTCAATGAGCTGTATAGTAATTATAAACTATACACGCTGTAGAAGCATTACATTCATTTCCAAGGATCTTACCAACAAATTGGTAACAGCCAATGCGTCTTGAACCTTGTTTGGGTTGGATTTTAGATTCTCAGTTAAAGCTTTGCCCCCAGGAAGAGATGGCAGGGCTGCACGAGGGCACCAAGGGCTGTGGAAGATCTTGGATATCCAAGGACTGTCCGCTAGCTCAGGCAAAGCAAACTGCTTGCTCTTAATCCAGCCCCTGACATTACACCCGCATTGCTCGAACCTCAAAGCCTATGCCAGGACTCACTCAAAGCTTTGTTGGTGCACAAACAGAGGGGCAGGAGGCGAGTTTGGCTGAAGGGGGATCATAAAATGGCTGAGATAGAAAAAACACAGAAGTTCGGTGAAGACATCACTGTGGCCGTAGTGAGTCTGGGTTAAGTACAAAGGCTGTGTTCTGGCAATGCGTAGAGAACGAGCGTTTAACGGCAGATAAAAGCATTAAAAAATACAGCCCGGCAAACATCAACAGCCATTAGCACAAGACAAATTCATTACATCCTGGTAGAGATTCAGACAAACGGTACTAAGCATGGGATAGCACACACGTTTTGCAAGAGTTACTCAACAAATCCCATGTTGTCGGTAACTAAAATGAACGTACATGCAAGTGATGTTGTTTTAATTTCAGATGTAGAGAAGAGACCTGTTAATTACTCGTGCAATCCATTTCACATAATCTGAACAAAAACCCCAGCCTGCCAACCTGGTGCGCTCCCCATTGCTGCTCAGGGAAGGCACAGCAGCACTCCGGGATCCCTGTGCCAGGGGACGGCTCCAGCCTCATCGCTGCCCAAGGAAGGGCCTGGAACGTGGGGAAGAGGAGAAAAAGCTTTTAGCAGGGCAAGTCTCATGCTGCAAATCATGAGACTGACCAAAGGCTAGTTTAAGGAGTTGCTGTGATGAACTAGTTGTTTCGGACATGGCTTCACCATCTTGGAGCGACCACCCTCGTACCATCACCTACAAAAGTAAGGGCTCAGATCAACAGGGTGGCCCCGTCAAAGGAAGGCGTCTGTCCCCTCCCCTCCCTGTTAGTCTTTAACATTGTACAGAAGGACAGCTCTAAACACCTACTTAAGCTGCAGCCACGGTTCCATTCTATATAAGTAAAGTCATCGTATTTTTTGCTTTTTTTAGATACAGGGTGTAGATCTCCACAAGCACGAGGGGGAGGAAGGCAAACGTGGCTGGGAGCCACCTGTCCACCTCCTTTCATTCTGGGCCTGAGCCTGAGGCTGCACCCCCCCTCCTGCAGGTTAAAGCAGCCAAATGGTCATTAATGTGTGCCAGCTGGGATCACCCCCAAGGATTCTGCTCCTGGCTCAGGATTGTCAGAGAATACTCTCTTGTGGCCATGTCCCTTTCTGCCCTGGATGTGTCCCAGAACATCCCTAATGCGGGGAGAAAGGAAAAAGGGTCCAATGGCATAAGATTCCAGCTTTATCCTAGCAGGGGATTCCCTTTTGCCATGGAAATCCAGAAGGGCCATTTAAATCCCCTTTGTACTGCTACAGAAATGGGAAAGACACGGGCCCCCAGCAACGTGTCTAACTTTATTTTCAGGGATAATTTTTTTCCCATTTTATCTGTTCAAATGCAGGCCAGATTATCGGTGACTTCAATGGAACAATTGCTAAGTCCCATTTCAGTTCCTGAAGGTCACAAGTGCTCTTTGCAAAATTAGAGCAGTTGGGCAATAGGCAACATTTTTGGCAGTTTTGAGCAAGGATGGAAGTTTGGCAGGCCCAAGTCTGGTGGGCAGAGCCCTGTGGAGACAACGGCTATGCGGCGGCTTACGGCACTCTTACTCTGGAAGCAGGCAGTGGACGGCTGCGTGCTGGCTCCATCAGTCTGGCACCTTTCACCAATAACGTATCGACACATATTCCCAAATGGAAAAAGGGGTAGCTCGTTATGTCATACTAAGCACGTATTGCCCATGTTAAAGTTAGCAGGCGTCCCTTGAGCGTAATGACCTAAAATTAATTGTAATAAACAAAGAAAAGAGCGCCAGAATCCTTTATATCTGTGTCTAAAGATTCTAATTCAGTGGACTCCATAGTTGATGACTCGTAGTTCATTTTCTGTGAAGACATCACCAGGCTCATGCTAAGATTCCCTCTCCTTTGAAAGAGCTCTGTGGCACGCAGAGCACAGCTCAATGAGTACGGCTGCCATCAGCCACAGGTACGGAGAAGAACATGAACTGAGCAAAACATTTAATGTTAGAGCAAGAGGAGCCCTGCATCGTGTACGGGACCAATTGGGGGGATATAATTTAGGCATACCTATTGCTCTCTCTTCTGCTTCTTTTCCCAGAGTAAAACACCAGAGCGCAGGAAGCTCTTGGCTCGGCTGCTCCTTCCAGTTCTGCAGTCCCGACACCGCTGGCCAGCCTTAAGGAAGCATCACGCAGCGTGCGAGCAGAGGGGTAGGCACAGAAAAGAGGGTATGGCGGAGAAGGCGGCACCAGTCACCCCAAATGGAGACACAACTCTTCAACTGAAAGAACAGCCTCTGCGAAGGGCGACAGACTTTGGCAGCAGAGCTGATTCTGCAGATGGCTCCTCCAGCAGCTCAGAGCACCATGCGAGGAGGACGGGGGGCCATTTATAGGACCTCCAGCACCACTCCCACCGTCGCTGGGACTGGATTGAAGGCTTCGCCCACATATCCCTTGGTTCCCTGCATACTGTGCAGCATTAGATTCCATATGACAACCAAATGGGCACTCATCGTTCTTGACATTACCACTTGTAACTAGAAGGAGCTCGGGAAGGCTCCTACTGTTAACACCTCTGAAAACTCCACAGAGCTCCGAGCACAGGCAGAACGAGCCCAACATCAGACCTACTTATGAGTTTGAGCTGTTCTCTTGGCTGGCGAGAAAGTTCATTTAGGTTCAGCTCTCCAGTAACATCTATTGGATTGCAACAGGTTTTCCTGTGAAATAATGTTAAATGGGTGTCAAAAGCCTCTAGAATGTCTTGAAGATCTGAGCTGTGGTGTTTTGAGAGGTTTATTTATTATTATTTTTTAAAACTTACTCTATGAACGTATTTCCATAGTCTATAAAGCAATGCCTGTGGAGGTCAGGCAGTTAATAACCAGATGAATTATCATCTCCTCCAGTAAATCAGCTGCTGGAAGGCAGCCTGTGCGAAGGTCAAGTTTAAGTAAAGATAAAGAATGATACAATCATACAGATTAACAAATATTATTACTTGAGTCCCTCCTCATTTTCTGAGGATATACGACAAGGGCACGTGTGCAGTCGTAGGTATTTACGATCATAGCTATCACATCCCAATAGGATTGCGTGGGAAATTAGCATAGCAGAAGGAGCTTTAGCTTGATATTTGGGGACTTTCAGGACACTTAGGTGTTCAGAAATTAAACTGGAAGAGAGATGACTTGTGAAGTCTAGAATTGATAATTAATTTTCAAACAACAAATGACAATTCAAAGATAATCAGATCTGTGTTTTTACTATGACTTATG